GGTGTGAGTCCTTTCCCCGAATCTTCACACTCACTATGGGCAGTACAATCTTAGCATTTTTCGTCGATAGTCAGATGTCGCTTTCGCAGCTGTATGGGTTTTCATGGGCGTCCTTTGTCCCTGTAGCATAGACATGGCCTAGTTTTCCGGCCATGTACGAAGCTAATTAGAAAGGTAGAAGCACATGGGCATCAAAGGTAACATCCTTAATTGGATTAGGCGGTTACAGGACACAGGAAACAGCGAGTGAGCATTAACGGCACTAAGTCCCATTGAGCAACGTCACAAGTGGAGTTCCCCAAGGCTCAATACTGGGACCATTACTATTTATTATATACATAAACGATACAGATATTTCAGCATAGACAGCAAACATAAGTAAATTTGGTGATGACACTAAAATAGGATGTTATTAAATCACGAGGACTCGGCAAAACTACAGGAAGATCTAAACAAATTTTTCGAATGGTCTGAAAAATGGCAGATGAAATTCAACGTGGACAAATGTAAAGTACTCAGTATAGGAGATGTAAACAGGGAAACCAGATACCAGATGAACAACGATGCCATAGAGAAATCCGACTGCGAGAGAGATTTAGGAGTAATGATAAGTAGGAACCTTAAGCCAAGTAAACAATGTGTTTTTGCTCGTAACAAGGCTAATAAAGTACTTGGGTTCATACAAAGGAGTGTTAGTTACAAGACTAGCGAGGTCATCCTAAAACTGTATCTTGCTCTTGTGAGACCACACCTGGATTACGCAGTTCAGTTCTGGTCACCGTATTACAGGATGGATATAGAATCATTGGAAAGAATTCAGAGGAGAATGACAAGACTAATCCCGGGCATTAGGAACCTTGAGTATAGAGACAGGTTAAAGCATCTTAATTTGCACTCCCTCGAGAGACGTAGAGCGAGGGGCGACCTGATAGAGGTGTATAAGTGGAAGTCAGGGCTAAACAAAGGGGACATTACAAAGGTACTCAAACTATCCAACCAGGAGCGAACTCGTAACAATGGTTTTAAATTAGACAAATTTAGATTTAGGCGTGAAATAGGTAAACACTGGTTTGGAAACAGAGTAGTGGATGAATGGAACAAGTTACCAAATATCATCATTAACTCGAATACGCTGAATAGCTTCAAACATAGGTTGGATGCTTATATGAGCAATAGGGGTTGGGTGTAAACGGGACTGCCCAGTATGGGCCAATAGGCCCGCTGCAGTTTTCTCCATTCTTATGTTCTTATGTTAACTGTCGTTGGCTTTCTGGGCCATGCCACCATCAGAGGTGCCTGCCACTGACTCCTGTTTCACGAGACCTTGAAAATTTCGCTTTACGCCACCCTTGCGTGTGTTTGACATACTTGCAGTAAGTGCCTCCCTTCGTTCTTGATGCAACAGTCTAGAATGCTTCTCTTTGCACCCATCAGTGCCACACCTGAAGCGTGACCAACACTCAGCAACAAGGTGGCCCACTCTCAGACACAAGAAACAGCAACGTAATCTTTTTACCCTCTCTAACCTCTCCCTCACTGACATGCTCTGGAATTCGTCGCACCCTGCTAATCCATGTGCTCTGGAACACACTGGGCACGAGCCTTATCCAGAGCTTGTTTCTCCTCTATTGCCTTTCGCTTCACTGATAGTCACTAGGCCCACTTCCTTCTTGATTGTCCTCGCTTGATAGCAGAGCCATGTCATCCATCTTCACCGCTTTCTCCTCCAAATATAGCGCTAACCACTTCACCAGCCCTGTTCTGTGTCCTGTCGACTTGTGATAATTCCGTACATCATCCACACAGCGTTCTCTCAATTTGGGGGGAAGCTTAATCACCAGCGTTCTGAAGGTCTGCCTAGTTTCAAGTTCAGACATCAAGTTCAGATTCTCCAGATGGCTTACTGCACCCCATAGCTGAGATGCCAGTTTTCGCAGCCCTTCGTCGTCGAACGCCCCCACTGAGCGAGCGTCTATGAGCCTTTTTACCAGCTGGTCCGCATATGCATACTTATCTCCAAACCTTGCCTTCAGTATCTTGATTGCCTTGTTGGAGGCTCTGTCTGGCTCTAGATAGTCGCATCCCATGATTGCTTGATGTAACTCTTCTCCTTCACAAGCATCCATGAGCAGTTGGTACTTGTACTTCTCTGGCACGGCCGCATTTGTCATGTATCGACGAAAGTCATGCATAAAGGTCCAAAACTCCGCCCGCCCTTGTCCTTTAAACTTGGGAAGGGTGGCTTGTGGCATGCGCATCGTAACCACAAGCTCTCTTATTTCTTCACCCTTCTCTGATTCTCCCTGTGGATGCATAATTGTGACTTGAGGCGCTTTGTTTTCAAGCATTGGCGGTAAAGACGATGCCATTTTCTCGACATTGACCGATGCCTGTCGCTGGGTTTCTTCCCGTACTATTGGCTTCTCATAATTGCTGGAGTTCTCTGTCGAAGGCTGTGAGCTGTCACTTCTTCGTGTTAGTGCTGATGTCTCTTGACCCGCCACCATTCCAGTGTGCATCGTTTTCATCCACCCTGCCTTAAACTCTCGCAGGGCTCGGTTTACTTCATCAGACGCTGCCTCAACTCTGGCCACTGCTTGTTGACAATACAATTCCCTACTGTGACCTTCCCGTGAATCCTGGTATTGCAAGCTCATTTCCTGTTTCACCACTCTCTGATTGTACCTCGGCGGGCGGATCCATTGTCATTAGGTCAAAATGTTTGCTTCTATCTAGGTCCGACTCTTCTTCCATGTCGTCAATATGCCCAATCTCCGACATCTTGCTTATTCAGGTAATTTGAATTGCGTTCGTTTCCACCACTCTTGAATCAGGGCTCGTTCGTGTGCCTCGTCATACACTCGCACCTGATATCATTACAGACTTTACATTGATATTTGGGTTATTTACAAAGCAATATCACTTCAGTCAATTTTGACAGCTAATTGTATTCTGCACTTACGTCAGACAACAATAATGACATAGTGTTTTCATTCTCATATGCACTACACTGGGAGTGATGAAGATCACCCAGACAAGACTATTTTCTGGACTAACAAGGTTTAACTATTATCGATGCGAGAAGTATACGGACGTTGCACTCCACTTACTCGCCACCGGATACACACACATCCACACCCACACGCACACACTCGTCCCTCGAGTGACGAGTGTTGGTGAGCCAAGCTACACTAAGAGTGGCTGAGCTCACTCTGACAACATTATTTTCTTCAATAACAAAATGTTCAAGTTTTATCGCCACTATAAATCTACGGGCGTTGCACTGTAATCCGTGGCACTGGGAACACGCGCGAGCGCACGCACACACTCACGCACACACTCACGCGCATCCCTCCAGTAGGTTGAGTTGAGTTGACCTTGGTTACTGCTGCCCGCCCGTTGGTTCAAGGTAGCACTGCTACACAGTAGACATTCACGTTTGACTGTAACCGCCAATCAGACGGTTAGAGGGTGAATAATACTTCTCACGTCGTACACGAACATTATAATTCGGTCAAACCTGTTGAATACAATTCATTTAGTATTTCAAGTAAGTCATACATAGGCACTCTTACATAAATGTTTAATCCAATATATATTTACATAACAATCATGGCTATGAATTAGTCTAATCTTAACACAAAAACAAGTACTAGTTAAACTTACGTGTTGAAAGTCTAGAGAGAAGCCAGGGTAGGTGTTGACTCTAAGATAAGGGTAGCTATACTGAAATGCCCACCCTATAGCCTGGCCCCTTGGCTGGTCAGCTATGGCTGAGTCAGGTGATTATAATTATACATAAACAAACTCCCTTCACACCCTACAACCTCCTTCTGGGCCTCTCATCTTCAACCATCTCAACACTCTACGTTGTGAGTTACAGCCTAACATAACATTTGTTTATGTCATCATAATTATGTACCGCTTGCGGTAACAAATATTATCTTTGTTATAATTAAGTTATTTTTTCCACAATCATTATCACAATTTTTATGGTCCTGGTAATATTTACTTAACATCGCGCGATAACACTATCTTGCGTCCCGCTTTCATGAATTATCTTCTCCCTTGAGATAAATGAATAGTGTTGTTATGCCGAGGCAGAATCTATTCATTATAATTTTGTGAACTACTGTAGCTGTTCTGATTATTTTATTATCCAAGCAGCAGATATTTTGACAAGTTTGGGGAGATTTTCTTGTATATATTGATGTATTACCTATGTAAGATTTTTCTAGAATGTGTTGCATTATTTTTGTTTTATGATTTACTTTGGTATTGTAAGTCTAGATCACTAAAACTCTCCGGGCGTTTTCCTTCCGACGTGTAGCGCCTGGTTGTCATACTCGAGGCGTCTGAAGAGACGTATATACAATTTCGGGAGCTGCCTAGGACAGTCAACGGTTTCTTCTCAGAGTGTAAAGGGCAACAAGCCTTGTAGAACAACAGTAGATAATTGTGGTGCAAGTATTGTGGAATTGTTGTGATGAATACGAAGTGAAAAGACTAAGAAATTGAACACTGGTAGTGTGCCGACTACAGAATATATTTGAAGTGAGAAGTCCAACTGTGAAGACATTACCCTGTTAACAGTGTTGTGAAGAATTGCAGTTTATTAAAGAACACTACAGCTGACAAGTGTGTTTCTGTGACCTGGTGGAAACCTACCTGCCTGTTGTTTGTCTGTACACTGATACTGATCGTCGGGGAATTACCGGAGACAGCCAGTGGTAATTCGACAACACTTGTGAGGTATCTACTGCTCCTGGCCGTTGGTAACCAGTGGTGGAAGCTGGGCGCCATTATGACAGCTCAGGCTCTCAGTGTGCTCAGGTGTGTCAATATTGTTAATATTTTCTTCCCTGTATTTTATTTTTCTGGCTAATTAAACTGTTTCATCATGTCATATCAATACAGTTCTCTCACTTCCTCCGTTCATCCTCTCCCCTCCTCCTCCATATCTCTCTCTCCGTTACCCCCATTTTCTTTACTCTGTGAGAGGATTAACCAGCGTCAACAGGATACCTTAACATTTATCACTTGTCCCCGAGCGGCCGAAAGGACCACACGCACCGCTTCAGCTTACCAGGATTACTGGTCAACTTACGTGAGTGTTAATGATGTTATTACCCATTGTATTCTTCTCGGCTTACCGTAGGATATGTGTCTCGGTGACTTTGATATGGGAGGTTGGTCCTAGAGGCAGGTTTTGTAGGTCTCTGTGAGGTCTTATCTTACGACAGAGGTCAATTATCTGTTTATCTATCTACCTCGTCTAGTAGTGAGCCTCCGTGAGTTTTTAATATGGGATTTGATATGTGCGCTTGATATAAATGTGGGTTCACAGTGATTTGGTTTACTGTACAATCGTCTGATTTCACGATTAGAGAGACAATCCTCTAATCCATGAATATCCAGCTTCCACGCTACACTAATGGTGACAAAACGGTGCTACTCTTCCGTCGTCTGGCAAGTTAAAGATATAACAACAGTGAGCAGTATATAGTTATAATTAGGAGAAACGTTTGGTAGTTCTTCTTGTAATCGATTACAGAAACTACGTACAGGGTGATGTGTTTATTCGAGAACCCTAAATAATTCCCATACATTAAAAACTGCATCAGTTAGGTACCTAATATTGTGCGTAAATGTAGCCTAATGTTACAGAGAGGCGTGACATGATCCTGAGAGTTATCTGATATCACGTGACCCATCAGTGGCGCTTAGCGGTATTCACTCAGTCTCGCCTGGCGGAAACCATTCTGGTGATCCGACAAAAGAGAAAGGCGTTCAAAGTGACGGAGAAAATGAGAGTTTAAGATAGTTCCGAATATCTTAGAGAGGGATGAAGTTAGGGCAATGGGGCGATAGTTATAGGGATTAGAATGGTCACCCTTCTTAGGGATGGGCTGAACCAAGGCATGCTTCCAAGAAGAAAAAGTTTGGGTTTTGAGGCAAAGCCGAAAAAGGCGAACAAGCACAGGGCCATAATTTCAGCTCACTCCCTCAGAACACGAGGGGGTACTCCGTTTGGTCCATGCGCCTTAGTCCCATTCAAATTGGATGACACATCCGCAACCCTACGAGTGGAGATTATAGGAAAGTGCAAAGGTTCAGTAGGAGGAGCAGGGGTAGGAGGGATAGAGTTGGAATCGTCTAAGGTGGACCTAGAGAAGAATAAGGTGCCAAAAAGATTGGCTTTATCAGGGGGAGATTTGGCTATAGAGTTATCAGGTCGGAAAAGAGGGAGTGCTGACGTTATTACAGATGTTTTGGGGTAAGGACCAGAGGGATTTACTACAAGAAGAGTTAGTCAGGTCAGCGGTTTTTCATTTTTTAATAAAATTCTCCTTGGCCCTACGAAGAATAGCCTTACAACGATTCCTGGAAGTAATGAAAGATGAGTGAGTGAAAGGAGATAGTTTCATAACTTGATATACCCTATCTTTCTCCCTTCATGCAAGAGAACAGGAGCTTATATTTACTTAAATAATGAAGCAATTATATTAATTAATTGGCAACTCAACTACAACGAGGAACGAGGACTGCCACAAGATTCTCAGATCAAATTTTCTTCATTATTTTAGCGAATATACGAACATTTGGAAACTTCTCATGATCTTAAATAACAATGAATAGTTTATTTTTATAATAATTACACCTTTGGTTTGTTTAATATTTATCCTTACAGTGATACGATCACCTTTACATACAGCCTTACTTTACGAAGTACTGCCAGGTAAAATTGCGAGCACGAGATCCAGGATGGGGTCGGTGCATCTTTGGCTGACTGTACATTGAAATCCCATGGGTAGAGGATCTCGGTGTTGGGGTGTGTGGATAGCAACAACTCATGGCAAGAAGTGAGTTAGTCAAAGAGCTCCAAATAGTTGGTAGAGTTGAGAGAACAGAATAGGAAACAAAGAAAAATAGTCATAGTTGGTAGAGATATTTTGAGACAGATGACATCATAAAGGGGAGATTCAAGATCCGAGAGTCGAGCTTTAGGTGTACGCGTGTTGCGGAAAGAGGTGTAGGCAGCGGAACAAACAGACAAAAATATGTATATATAGTGATATTACTGCTGAGTCACAGACCTGAAACAGATGACAATGTCTCAGAGTCATCCATGTACCCTGCAGAATACTAAATGCATTCTGTCGCGTAGTAGGTAGTAGGCAGCTATCAAACAGGGAGGTACTACAGCCTAGGAAGATATTGGAAGCATAATGTGTTGTCTAATGGTAGACCCTGCTGCCATATGACATCACGAAAATTGTGACCAAGTCACGGGATGCCGATCCGACTTTCTGCCTCATTTACACATAGTTGCAGGGTCTCAATTGTTTCTTTTACTTTGACAACACAACTTACATATATCGTTTATCACTATTGATTTTTTTTCTTTGTGGTTCTTTATTATTATTATTAATATTTTTATTATTATTATTATTATTATTATGTTTAATTTTGTATTTTCTATAAAATTTAATATATATTTTTTTCAATTATTATAATTATTATCATTATTATTACATTTTCGCTTCCCAGGCCCGATGTGGGTCAGTGACCTGTGCCCGGGTGGACTAATCCCCGTAAAAAAAAAAACATCGTTTTCGATTTTTGGAGGCGGGCGTTAGAGACGCAGGATGAGTTACTGCGTCTTTGCTCTACGGCGGCTGGTAAACGAGTAAGCGGCAGGCGAAGAAGCAGGTCTATACTGTTGACCTAAACCAAATAATAGGAGTCCAGCTCTTGGTGCGCTATTTAAGAGTTCATAAGTGAATGCAAAGTTATATTAAACATACATAAGAGATAGAAAATCTTGTACGGAGGCAGAGACAAACGCAGGATTTGTGTTGGTAGGATTTCCGGTCTTATCAGACTGGTGATGCACGATTAAAATGTCAACCTTGTGGTCAGTGCCATCTGTTGACGCCGTCTTCTAGTTAGTGATATTGAAACAGTTTCTTGAGCCAGAAAAATATAGATACACAGTGGATAATAATAATATCTATCTGTGTATATGTCTGTCTATCTATCTCTCTGTCTACCCCTCTGTCTGTCTGTCTGTCTGTCTGTCCCTATTGTATTTATCTATTTATTTAGGTATGTTTATATCTATGTTTCGTCTGATTCCTCTAAATTTTTTCTTTCTTCTTCCTCTGTAAATATATATGTACTGTTGAATATAATTGTGACAAAGATTCTTATCTCTCGCTCATAAGCATTACTACGTACTCGCTATACTTTAACCAGAGCGAGGTGGTGTGTGCGCTGGGATGGTGACACCTCCTGTGATGACTCTAATGGTGATGATGGTGGCGGGTCTGGGTGTGGTCTCCGGGTTCAACATCTATACGGAGCATGCCCAGATCCTTTCGGGTCCCGAGAAGACCCACTTCGGATACAACGTAGCGCTTTGGAGTACTAAAATTGGGCAGAAGAGGTGAGTGAAGAATATGAACAATTTACTATTTACATCATATATGGTACACACACACACAAGCCAGTGAGATATAATGAACTGCAAAACCTTTACTCTAACTAAGTGAGCTTCGGTTGTATTTAATTAATTTTACCTTGTGTTTTCATATCACTAAATTTTACATTAACCTTAGTAACCTCCTGCACCCTCCACACTACCGCCACCTACCTCCTGCACCCTCCACACTACCACCACCTACCACTTTCTCCCTCCACACTACCACCACCTACCACTTTCTCCCTCAACACTACCACCACCTACCACTTTCTCCCTCCACACTACCACCACCTACCACCTTCTCCCTCCACACTACCACCACCTACCACTTTCTCCCTCCACACTACCACCACCTACCACTTTCTCCCTCCACACTACCACCACCTACCACTTTCTCCCTCCACACTACCACCACCTACCACCTTCTCCCTCCACACTACCACCACCTACCACTTTCTCCCTCAACACTACCACCACCTACCACTTTCTCTCCCTCCACACCACCACCACACCACCACTCTCTCCCTCCACACCACCACCACCCACCACTTTCTCTCCTCCACCACCACCACCCACCACCTTCTCTCTCCACACCACCACCACCCACCACCTTCCTCCCCTCCACACTACCACCACCCACCACTCTCTCCACACTACCACCACCTACCACTCTCCCTCCACACTACCACCACCTACCACTTTCTCCTCTCCACACTACCACCACCTACCACTTTCTCCTCCACACTACCACCACCTACCTCCTCTTCTCCCTCCACACTACCACCACCTACCACTTTCTCCCTCCACACTACCACCACCTACCACTTTCTCCCTCCACACTACCACCACCTACCACTTTCTCCCTCCACACTACCACCACCTACCACCTTCTCCCTCCACACTACCACCACCTACCACTTTCTCCCTCAACACTACCACCACCTACCACTTTCTCCCATCTTCACCCCAACTATATATTACCACCTCCTTCGCCAGGCTAGTGATAGGGGCGCCCTTGGGAAAGAACTCAACAGCAGGTAACCAGACATGGCCCTTGGGTAACATCCATGTGTGTGAACCCTTGAGCGACCAGTGTGATCCTGACCCACGACTACCCAACCTCTTATCCGATGGTGAGTCCTATAATGCATCCTTAGTGACTAATAGGATGTCTATACGATAACCCTTGGAGAAAATGTAAAGAGTGTCGTAGGATATGCCAAAAAATACCACATAGGATACCCAGAGAACACCACAAATGTCCCCCCATGTCTTACACCGACCCCCCCCTCTCTCCGTCCTTCTCTCTCGCAACAGACACCAGCACCAGGGCCATCGACTTTGGGAGTATCATACGAAAACAAGGAATAGGGTTCGGTGAAACACTCTACACAGCCAACCAACCTTCGTCCAAGCTAGTGGTGAGTGTAGTGTGTGTGGGTGTGTGTGTGTGTGTGTGTGTGTGTGTGTGTGAGATGGTTTTAGTGAATGTCTATATATTTATCTCATCTAACTTGTCTCAGGCGTGTGCTCCGCGGTATGTCAAGATCATGGAGCATGTATATCTACAGGCCAGAGGGATATGTTACGTGCTTGACGACGTGTTTGCCAGTCCAGAGATAATATATCCCTTTCCCAGTAAGTGTGGATAGGTGGCTTGTGTTCATTCCTATCATACATACATACATACATACATACATACATACATACATACATACATACATACATACATACATGGGTGAAAATATAAATGTAACGTAATAATAAAGACAGTATTACTTAGATTTATCCTACGTGTTACTTATGCTTCATTTATGTGTTACTTAGATGACTGTTTCAAGGTGCGTGGGAGATGTAACTTGAACACGGGAGTATACACAGGCAGAAGTATGACCGGGTTTAGCGCCTCCATCCTCCAGGTATTGTATTGTCACAAGTTGGGTTAGGTTAGGTTAAGTTAGGTTAGGTTATGTTATGTTAGATGTACTATCATATATTTGATTTCCAACCTGTGATATTGTAAACTTGTTAGTATCACCTGTTGAGTCGATAATTCACCTGAAGATTAATCACCCTAACACTAACCTAACCAATCTTGCCCTAACCTCCCCTACCCTTAACCCAACTTTATCTAACATTAAACTAACCTAACCTAACACTAACCTAATCTAACCCAGCTTAACGCTAACCTAACCTAACACTAACTTAACCTAACACTAACTTAACCTAATCTAATGTACCCTATTCTAACCCAACTTAACACTAAACTAACCTAACCTAACCTAACCTAACCTAACCTAACCTAACCTAACCTAGTCCCATGAGGTGAAATAAAGCTGGCAAGACTTGTTAATATATATATACTGTAATATTTTTAATGACTTGACGCTTTTGTAAGAGGCTGTTTGTTTATCTCCTGTACAGGGAGAGGAAGCAGTCATATCTGGAGCTCCGTTTGCTTTCAGTGGTTCAGGTAAACGTTGTAGTGAAGTATCTGTAGTACCCTCCCTCCCACAAGAAAAAAAAAACTGTCTTTTTATTTGTGTATTAAAATAACATACTACAGGCCTTCAGTAATTGAAATCCTTAATTAATAGATACACAATTAAGAAAACTGTTATTAGTTTTTGTTTTTTTCAGGGTTGTTGATTAAAACCATTGAGAACAGACCTACGGTACGGAATTTCCACACTGACCCCACGTACTTGATCGGCTGGGCAACAGTGACGGGAAGATTCAACGGAGTGACAGAGATGATCGCTACCTCTTCTTCCTTGGACGTATACGGCATTGTTAGTACTACTCTTATCCTCTGTTGATGTGTAGTAAGCTGGGGGTGATGTTGATGTGTAGTAAGCTGGGGGTGATGTTGATGTGTAGTAAGCTGGGGGTGATGTTAAAGTGTACTAAGCTGGGGGTGATGTTAATGTGTACAAAGCTTAGAAGTACACCTTGTACAGTGAATTAACATTGACTGAATAAACCACCTTAGAGTCACGGATCAGCTAAAGATTAGGCTCTGTAACACCAACCTAACCTAACCTACAATACTCTAACCTAACCTAACGTCACCCAGATCACCTTTTACTACCAATCGATGTTTCAAGTGCCTAGAAAGCTACAAGGAAAGGACGTAGGTGTACAGTTCGGGTACAGCCTCGGCGTGGGTGACATTGACGGTGATGGGACTGACGATCTGCTGGTGGGCGCCCCTCTAGCCAAAGGTATCGAAGGTGCTCCTGACTGTGGCCGGGTTTATATCTACTACTCACCCGTCAATCAGGTACTTGTCTTGTTGTTGTTCGTCTTCACATTCTCCTCCTCTTCCTCTTCCTAATCCTTTTTTTAGTCTTATTATTGTCATTATTATTTGACATGAACTGACCACTTGACCTATACTACACTTCTTTTGACCTTTAAGTACTTGACCTCTACATCTCCAGTATCCTCCCTGGGCCTCCCCCCTGGTATTGGCAGGAAGAGAGCCCTGGGGTCGCTTCGGGCAGGCCGTGACCTCACCTGGTGACCTTAACCAAGATGGCTATGACGGTGAGAGAACCTTTTTAACCCTGAGAGATATAGAGATACAGATAGATAGATGGATAGATGGATAAATGGATAGATAGATGTCTGAAATTTTACTACGTCGACTGGGATATTCCAGTTTACCTCACCTAACCTAACCTAACCCAACCCATGTTATACCGGACAGAGGTGGTGGTCGGGTCGCCGTTCGATGGAGGAGGTGTAGTGTATGTGTTCAACGGAGCTGCCCAAGGACTGATTGCGATACCTGCACAGGTGAGTCATTAACCCTCCTCAGGTGAGTCAGCTTGAGATAGTCAGTTTTAGATTTAATTTTCATTTTTATTTTATTTGTTTACATTAACGTTGCAGGAAATCCGTGCGTCCGAATTCTCACCAGGAATACGTGGCTTCGGCTTCAGCTTGGACGGTGGCGTGGACATGGACGATAACGGCTATCCTGACCTCATCATCGGGTCACCGGAATCGGACAATGCTGTTTTCTTACGGTAAATTCTTCACCAAAATACGAATATTACCTTTAATTATTTTTCCCAAAACAATATTATGTCTTGATCATAATTAAAAAATAATAATAATAATGTATATCTTGAGCTAACTTCATACGGGTAAAGCTAGTCACCGTTCTATAGGTCAGTCGTTTCCTTTATATTACGTCAACAACTCTTATGTCAGGTCATCTCCGGTGGTGAGCTTGGAGGGGTTCGTTATGTTTGACCCGTCAATCGTCGTGCTGGGGAAAAGGTCATGCACGGTGATTACCGACGATGTTGTGTGTTTTAATCTCGAGTTCGACTTGAAGTATTCCTCTAAGACCAAGTTTGAATATCTGCGTGAGTACTAATGTGACCTTTTGACATGTGTGTGTGTGTGTGTGTGTGTGTGTGTGTGTGTGTGTGTGTGTGTGAGAGAGAGAGCTATTAATGTTTTTGTTATTATTATTATTATTAATTTTATTATTATTATTATTATTATTTAGCATTAGTACCAATTTTTGATAAGTAAATGTCTATAAAACATTGTATAGAGTGTATGTTACAGGTGTGTGTGTGTGTGTGTGTGTGTGTGTGTGTGTGTCGGTCCACCAGGTGTAACTCGGGGGTCTCTCACACAGAAATACACCTGGTGATAAAGCTGGATCCCGTACACGACAGACTTGCCTTTATCGCGAACCAACAGACCACGTAAGTACCTTCACCTTAAGTACACACCCTCCACTTAAGTAGTTGCTCTATCAGTCTAAAGTAGCAAAAAATTACTTATACAGTAGATATTACAGTTCAGACAGACAAACATACCGGTCGATAGATAGACAGACAGACAGACAGACAGACAGACAGACAGACAGACTAATAGACACATTGATTCGCAGATAGATATAGTAAACAAAACAGTTATAGATAGATAGTGATGTATATTCTCCCCCTCACCGCCAGACTCAACGTAACCAGAGAAATTGAATCTGTCGATCAGCCTCCCGTCAAATGGACCATCCCTGTCTACGTGAAGGTGAGAGAGAGAGAGAGAGAGAGAGAGAGAGAGAGAGAGAGAGAGAGAGAGAGAGAGAGAGCTATATTAACCAAATTACTTTCTCTCTCTCTCTCTCTTTCTCCACACTATAGACTGGCCGCCCTCGACTAGACGCACCGATCGAGGTTGATGCAACAGCCAGTCTCAAGTCTCACCTTGTGCGTCTGGGTACACAATCCTCCAAGCTTGAGGTTCCTACCATCCTTGACCAACTAAACCCCGTAGACCTGAGAGCCGAGGCCCGTCTAACCTGCGCCGATCCTACTACTTGTTTCTCCAAGCCTGATCTCCTCCTTCAGACTACGGCACCGTAAGTGTCATCCTCCTCCTTGAAAGGGCGTCGTGCTTGATGGGTATATAACTCTCAAGTCTTAATATCAAGGGAAGTGATGTGTTTTATTTCATGTCTCTGAGGGTATTTTTAAGCTTGGAAGGATATTTTGAAGCTTGGGAGGGTGTTTTTAAGCTTGGAGGGATATTTTTAAGCTTGGGAGGACTTTTTAAGCTTAGCATGTCATTTTTAAGCCTGGGAGGATATTCCTTCCTGTTTCCCCTCCATCCTTCCTTTCTTCCTTTACTTTCTCCTTCTCCCCCTCCTTCTCTTCTTCATTCCTTCCTTTTCCCCCATCCTTCCTATCTTCCTTTATTTTTTTCCTCCTTTCCTCCTTCGACTTCTTGCTTCCTTTTTCTTCTACAGGACCCAGCTGGTGATTGGAGACGGGGCTCTAGCCGTAGAGGTACAGCTGGTGGTGAGGGAGGATGCGGCCTTTGCGGTAAAGCTGTTTCTGGTGACGCCGACACATCTGGTGTTCGTGAGGGTGTCTGGAGAGGACACCATCCCCGCCTGCGTCAAGGAACCTCCCCAGACCCTTACCTCACACGAGCTCTCAGCCCTCACCTGTAGGTTTACGTCTGATCTATACAAGAATAAAAAAGTGAGTCGTCAGCTGCATATTTATCCACGCCAATTATGTAAACAAGCACTTTTTGGTTTAGGTATCCCAGTTTATAACATTTGATGGTTATTAAACAGCCTAACACTGACTTAACTAACCTTAACTAGTTTAACCTAATCTAAGTTAACTTAATTTAACTTAACCTAACTTAACCTAGCCAAATTTAATCGAACCTAACCTAACCTTACCAAACCTGAGCTAATGTAACCTAACATAATAAAATCGAACCAAACCAAACCTAACCTAATCTAACCTAACCTAACCTAACCTAACCTAATCTAACCATGAACCACTGACAGCAAGTTCTCCTCCAATAGGTTTTTATGACGTTCCACTTCGAGTATAACCCCGAGACTCTCCTAAACCAATGGGTGACCAATGACCTCGACGAGATCAACCTCCAGCTGAGTGTGACCAGTGACAGTGTTGACCTTAATGAGGAGGACAACAACGTCAACCTCATTATCCCTGTCTTCACCCATGTCCACCTTCAGCTGAGTGTGTGAGTCCAGTCCAAGGTCGAGATTGTTGTTGTTGTACTGTGCTTATTGTTGTCCTCTCTCTCTCTCTCTCTCTCTCTCTCTCTCTCTCTCTCTCTCTCTCTCTCTCTCTCTCTCTCTCTCTCTCTCTCTCTTCTCACCTCTCCACCTCTCCGCCAGCATGTCAGATCCCGACATCGTTGAAGGCAAACTAAACGAAACCGCGAGTCAAGAGATGCTGAATAGGAACGAGCTCCTCTCACCTCGTCAGCTTGGACCAGCCTTCACCCAGCGATTCTCAGTCCTCAACCACGGTCCCTCACCTGTCTTCGGTCTACAGGTGAGTAATTGTGTGCGTCTGTGTGTGTGTGTGTGTCTGTCTGTGTGTGTTTGTTTGTGTTTGACATGTTTGCTGGTACCGGCAGATGTTGGTGGAGGTTCCGGTAGAACTAACTGATGGCCAGCCTGTGTGGTACCTTGTAGAAGAGCCTCGTACCTCTGGCCCTGTCTACTGTAGCTCTCCACCACTTAACCCTCGGGACTATAATGTAAGTACCACCTCTTATTAACTGGACCACATACACACACCAAGTATGAATTTGTTTCTACATAAATATCGACTTTCCAAATATACTGTATCACCTTTCCTTCATTACTTGTTATAAACATTAAGTTACAGGTACAGTTCAGGTAGAGTGTTAATCATAAAGTACAGTTATGAGGCTTAACTAACTTAGCAAAGGGTAGATATTTTTGGATTAGGAGAGTTGGTTAGTGAAGCATGTGAAGAAGATATGGCTGTAATGGGAGGTTGGAGGCCATGTAATAGTAGTAGTAGTAGTAGTAATAGTAGCAGTAGTAGTCATAACCTCAGTATACACGCTTTTTACCCCTTTCCCTCACCTAGTTTACAGAACAAGACACAAATGATATCTTGAACGGTGATACCATAGACGACCAGATCCTTGACCCCACCAACACAACACCCCAGGCCACTCAAGAACCACCCCGACGACTACGACGAAGAGAGGCAGACGATGAAGGGGTCCTAATGAATCCAATTGACGATGACAATGTTACTCTCCGTACCGACGATGATAACGATATGAAAACGTGAGTAAAGGGGGTTTATATCTCTCTCTCTCTCTCTCTCTCACTCTCTCTCTCTCTCTCTCTTTGTGTAAGGAGAGAGAGAAATAATGGTACCTTAACATAACATAGGAATAAAATTGTATATATATATATATATATATATATGTCAATGACGTAGTTTGAGTGTCTATAAAGATAGCAATAACACGCGGTCGTGGTTTTACAGGAAGAGTGAAATTGTGCCTCTCACCATCGATTGTCAACAGGTGCCTTGCCAGCTGATCACGTGAGTTTGGAATTTGGTTTGGTTAGGTTATGTTAGGACAAGTTTAGGATAGGTTAGGTTAGGTTAGAGAAAATTTAGGATAGATTAGGGTTGGTTAGGTTAAGTTAGGTTGTGGCTTATCAAGAGTATCACATAATCAATATACAACACCTATGCCTGACCCCTGATGACCTCTGACCAGGTGTAATGTGTCGTCCCTGAAGGCTGGGTCCTCCGTCAGCCTCTCCGTGTCTGGCTACGCAGTCATCGCTACTCTTAAGGTAAACACACACACACACACACACACACACACATACACACACAAATCACCATTTAATTTCTCGGACTTATTTCGCCATTACCTTTATCCATTGGTTATATAATTTGACATTTTTATATTTATTTTAATAATTCTTGTAGTATTTTTCCATTTTCTTATTTTTTTAGAGTTTTATTCCATTTTATTTTGTAGTTGAAATTCTTTGTCATTTTTTTTATTAGTTTGCTTTTTATTTTGCTTTGGTGTGTTTATTAATGACTTATTTTCTTACACACACACACACACACACACACACACACACACACACACACACACACACACACACACACACACACACCCTTCACACACATCACATATCATTTCCCCCACCACACACCACACACACACACACACACACACACACACACACACACACACACACACACACAACAGTCAAATATGCACACACAAACAGAAAATGCGTAATCGTTCCCTGGGTCTGGAGTCACGCATGAAGGCAGAGGTGACGTACCTGTATAGCCAATTAACAGGTAACCTGGTCAACGTCACTGATTCCACCCACGTCATCATCATTACCCCACCTGTAAGTAACCAACCCAACCCTCTCTTGACAAAATGGCGTCAGAATAGCACAAGGACCCTCAGTTATCATCTAGAATATAACTATGTGTCTATAATTAATTACATGAGGTATTATATGTGGGTCCAAAAAAGGATATTCCTGGACTGGTGTGGGAAAGAGGAGGAAGGATAGAGAGGGAAGAGAGGGGTGGAGAGGGAATGGAGGGAGAGAGAAAAAGGTAGGGAAAGAGGAGGTAGGATAGAGAGGGAAGAGAGGGGTGGAGAGGGAATGGAGGGAGAGAGAAAAAGGTAGGGAAAGAGGAGGTAGGATAGAGAGGGAAGAGAGGGGTGGAGAGGGAATGGAGGGAGAGAGAAGGAAGGAAGGGAGGTAGGGGATAGAGAGGAAGAGAGGAGAGGAATGAGGAGAGAGAAAAAGGTAGAAAACAGGAGGTGAGATAGAGAGGGAAGAGAGGGGTGGAGAGGGAATGAGGGAGAGAGAAAGGTAGGGAAAGAGGAGGTAGGATGGGAGAGGGAAGAGAGGGGGTGGAGAGGGAATGGAGAGGGAGAGAGAAAGTGTAGGGAAAGAAGGTAGGATAGGAGAGGGAAGAGGAGGGGTGGAGAGGGAATGGAGGGAGAGAGAAAAGGTAGAGAAGAGGAGGAAGGATAGAGAGGGGAAGAGAGGGGTGGGAGAGGGAATGAGGGAGAGAGAAAAGGGTAGGGGAAAGTGAGGAAGGGACAGAGAGGAAGAGAGGGGTGGAGAGGGAATGGAGGGAGAGAGAAGGAAGGAAGGGAGAGATAAAGAGGGATGAAGAGGGAAGGGAGGGAAGGTGGAGTATGGAGGGGAAGGGGAATCTTCATGAAAATCCTTATATTAATGACAAGTAACCTAACCTAACCTAACCTAACCTAACCTAAGATTATAATTGTCTTTGTCTTTCTCTACTTCTGTCCTCCCTCCCTCCCTCTCCCTCCCTCTCACCATCCTTCTCACCATCCCTCCCTCCATCCCTCCCTCCCTCCTTCCTTCCTTCCTTCCTTCCACACTCACTAACCTTCCTCTTCATCACCGCAGGAAGTGGCACCAGTAACCATCCTGTGGTGGCACTGGCTTCTTATCGTTCTTGTCAGCTGCATCATCATCGTTACCTTGATGGTCATTATGAAAAGGGTAAGTAGTGCCAATCAGTGCCAATCAGTGCCAATCAGTGCCAATCAGTGCCAATCAGTGCCAATCGGTGCCATACAGGGTAAATGGTGTCGATCAGTATTTAATAGTGTTAACCTATATTACATGGCCACCTTAGTATTAACCTATATTACATGGCCACCTTAGTATTAACCTATATTACATGGCCACCTTAGTATTAACCTATATTACATGGCCACCTTAGTATTAACCTATATTACATGGCCACCTTAGTATTAACCTATATTACATGGCCACCTTAGTATTAACCTATATTACATGGCCACCTTAGTATTAACCTATATTACATGGCCACCTTAGTATTAACCTATATTACATGGCCACCTTAGTATTAACCTATATTACATGGCCACTTTAGTATTAACCTATATTACATGGCCACCTTAGTATTAACCTATATTACATGGCCACCTTAGTATTAACCTATATTACATGGCCACCTTAGTATTAACCTATATTACATGGCCACCTTAGTATTAACCTATATTACATGGCCACCTTAGTATTAACCTATATTACATGGCCACCTTAATTAACCTATATTACATGGCCACCTTAGTATTAAACTATATTGCATGGCCACCTTAATTAACCTCTATTGCATGGCCATCTTTCAGCTTGGCTTCTTCAAAAGAAAGCGAGCACCGAAAAAAGACAGCGAAATGTTAATGAAAAATGACCAGAGACAAACGATGATGAATGACGGGAAGAAGGAGGAACAGAGAAATGGGGAGGAAGAGGATTAGGAAGAGGAGAGGAGATAAGTAGGAAGGGTAAAGAGAAGAAAGAAGAGTGTGGTGGGGGAGAGAGAGAGGAACGTTAAGAGGAAGAAATGTGTAGTGGAGGAGAGGAGAAAGAAATAATATTACAGTGTATTTTATTGTGAAGATAATGTAACTACTGTAAATGTTTTATTGACTATGGCGTAATATGAACCGTTGGGTGAGGAGAAAAGCTTTGTACTGAACAATTATATATATGTGTTAGGTAGCTTAATATTATTAGATCATTCATATTACGTTCAATAGTCCATAAAACATGTAGCTATAGAGTTTTTCTTGAGTTCCCCCTATATTGAGATGTACGTTTTTCTTCTCTCGTCCATTTCAGAACCTTCATCAATCCCGTGTTTATTTGTATATTTACTAATGAATGGGTTGTGTGTTACCGCTAGATAAATATACCTACTTATAGCTGAAACATTAAAGATACATTAGGAGTGATATTGAAATCTTCAGTTGTATTTACTTATAGTGAAAGTGTCAACTAAGTCGAGTGTTAGGGAAAGAACAGTGCTTGTGAGAATCCTTATCCATTCGGCGAGAGACTGTGAGATGTCGGTTCACCACGGAAGTTATATCGTGTTGATTCATTCATTAGAGAGAGGGGTGGCTGTATTGAAATTATTGTCATTTTTGTATTAAAGAATCTCATTAATTATTTGAGAGAACTTGTCAAAGTGGGGCCCAGTAACTGAAGTTTTAACCGACAGCGTATGAGTGGGCATCTGTTGGAATTTCTCTGACTGCTCAGAAGTGCGCCATCCTTGTTTTCAATTTGCTTGATGCATTCCAAGCTCAGATACTGATTGTTAAAGTTAGCCTTAAGAAATTAATGTGAACCATAACACTAATTTTCATAGTCGATGTATACCGTAACTGAGACCAATGGATATGTGAGTCAAGTCCCGTGCGTGGCAGGCCTGAGTATTTAACATGCAGGCGCTGAAAATTAACTCTTCGGAACAGCTCCTTCCTCGTATACCAGGCACTGTATTTATTGTTGCCGCTGCTGAGAGTCGGGTAGCCAGCTGCAGGCAAGATGTCCAATGCAGGATGTCTTTAATAAACCGGGATTAAGATCTGGGTGGGTGGCACACCCGAGTGCAGAGTTCACAGCCAAGCCCGAAGTCTGGACTCGGTGTGAGTCGTGAGCCCGACCGCGGTTTCACTGGGCGACTGGCTGAACGCACTTGTGTGTTTTGATCCAGTGGCGTAAGCCTGGTGTAACTCCTGTGTGCGCCAACTATTACTGAATGTATTATTGTGGACGGATTATCTGGAGTATGGACTATAGCTGTCCTAGGTCGAGTATTGGGACAGTACATACTTAGTTTTTGTTATGGATGTTGAGTGAACCAGCTGTACTTACAGTCTATCAAGTAATAGTGTATTAATCAGTGATAGTGTGATTTAAAACTCAGGTGCTAGAAGTAATAACATTACTCTGTGCTACTAACAAGTGTTGAGAGATACCATCACTGTGGTGTAATAATACCCTCAAGGTGGTATGAGTATTTAAGATCTATTTTGCTACTCATGAAGTAAGACCTATTGTTCAGTTCTATTTTGTCTAAGTGTTAAAGTAATTAGTATTAATTAAACCCAAGTAAATATTGTTGTGAATGAAGGCTCAAATTGCCACAGTATTTATATTTGTTTTCAGTAAATATTGATTCAGTATAATATGTGTATCATCGTTCATTCCTTCTAATAATTACCATCCTGATGATACACTTGATAACTCAGTGCCTCACCTCTCGTGCCTCACCTCTCGTGCCTCACCTCTCGTGCCTAACCTCACGTGCCTCACCTCTCGTGCCTAACCTCTCGTGCCTACCACTGTACTAAGAGGTTCGTTGTGGGTGGTGGCTATATTGAGAATTAAATACAGTAAGTACAAGAGTGTTTACTCATAGACGATAATGTGGTTCTCCCAGATAACCCACAGAACAGAATATAACTGAATAAAGTGTAAATAAACAAGAAACACTGAAAGAATGAAATATTTGGGGAAATTAAATAAGATAAAATTAAAACTTCGAAACAACGGAGAAAACAACAATAAATTAAATAGCTATATATAAAGATAGAACAAGAAGTAAAGTTGAAAGAAATATAATAAAGACAATCAATACTGGAGGGAAAATATCAGTGATTAAAATTCCCGACCCCTTACAACCAATCAAGACATTATATATACCTCTACGTCATTTCCCCCTGAGAGACGTTGGTTCTTGTTCCAGTGAGTGAATTCGATTAATTGAAACCTGAACTGTGATGTAAGAATAACAAAAAAAATATGAATTAGTCTGAAATAAAATAAGGATAGATATTAAATAAGAAATAGAAAGAAAGGATAAAAAGGAATCGTCGGCCGAGTGTTTATAAAAATTCTCTCTCGAAACGGCAACCGAATCGACCGTCAAAGAAAATCAACATTTAGTATCGAGGGCAAACTACAGTAAATCTTGGGGGTGCACTTGACTCGGTTCATTTTACGGAGGAATCTTGGATACTGGACCAGTTATATGACGTTAAGGTGGGAGTATGACCTATCACGCACTTATGACGTCAAAAAGTTCCTGCTGGAGGGTTGACCTACACCTGGATGGAAGGTTAGAGGTTGAGTAATTTACAACACCTTAGTTTTCAGTGTTTGTACTAACGACAGCAGTGACCTAATCTAACCTTACCTGTATCACCTCTAATAATAATAATAAATGAGCGTACAGGATATTTATAGAATGTAAGAGAATTAGAAGAGACCGATAAAAGAGTGAAGTGACAAAATTGCTTAAATGATAAATATAAATTATGTTGGTTCATCCTGCTTATGGTACTTACAATAATTGAGATTAACTTGCTAAAAAAAAATATTACGAGTCAATCTATATTAATGATACAGCTCTCAGAAATATTTGACCTCTATATAACGGAAAACCTCCCATTACCGACACCTTACTGTAATAGCCGTACACACACACACACACACACACACACACACACACACACATCATTATACTCATTAAAACACATAATTCCCCAATAATCCAACTTATAACCCCAGATCCTAACACCGGGTTATGTTACCGTTTATACCGACAGCATCAACTAACATCTGACCTTTATAAAGTACATCGCGGCGTTATATACGAATCCTCACCTCCTATAAACAATAAAACCCAGTAAGTGAGGACTGGTGTGAGCATCAACCAAGAGGATTCACTCGTGTTAAGCTGGACTAAATCCTCCTCAACACGATCCAACTCCATCTTGTGTGGGGGTTTGGGTGGCAGCTATGACAGGGGGTCCATTTGCTGTACTTATAAGGGAAGAATAATGTGGGTTTTTTTTTTTATTAGTTTATATATTTTCAGAAGTGTGTGTGTGTGTGTGTATGTATGTGTGTATGAATGTATAAAAGTATGTGTGTATAGAAGATGTATAGGTTGTGTAAATGATAAGATACACAGAGCGAGGTTAGAATTAGAAATACGGTTAATGGTATGATAGTAATAACAACTACAACAGTGAAGAGAAGGAGAAAAAGATTTGGAATAATCATCATAAACACAAATATTAAATTAAAGTGTTGAGATACAGACTATATAACTTTATTGACGTGTGTGTGTGTGTGTGTGTGTGTGTGTGTGTGTGTGTAGGTGTATGTAAGAAGAAGTAGAAGTAAAAAAAATAGATAAAAGAAACACCGAAAAACAATAACGAACGATACGCAATACTAAGAAGCGATAAATAATGATAAATAATAAGCGACCTCCAGGATAAATAGATATATTATGTTCTCTCCCTTTATTCTTCGTTCTCTTTCAGTTATTATCGTTCGCGTGTCTCCCCTTTTTCTTTATTTATGGCATACGTGATGGGAGTGAGGGGGAGAGAAGAGGATTAGTCAGGTAACAAGAGAGAGAGAGAGAGAGAAGTAGGGAAAATGAGGGAGGGAGGAAGGGAGGTGATGAGGGAAAATTTTTGCTTATTGTTGGTAAAGGTCTTCTCTCTCTCTCTCTCTCTCTCTCTCTCTCTCTCTCTCTCTCTCTCTCTCTCTCTCTCTCTCTCGTTCCTTCGCGTGTCGTTTGCTCATCGTCATCTCCAACACACTGGCGACACCCGTGATGGCACTCTCAGTCTCCCTCACTGGCACTGATGACCCTCCACATAGTGCCAGTGCCTGTTATGGCCGCGTCTAAGAGCCCCTAATGTTACTCTGCCGGACTGTGATTACCGTTATGGTTGTTATTACCGTTGTGACCGTTATTACCGTTAATACCGCTAAGACCGTTATTACCGTTGTAAATGTTATTACCGTTTTGACCGTTATGATAGTTAATACCGTTATGATCGTTATTAGCGTTATTACAAGTATGACTTTTACTTGGTGTTATTACCGTTTTTGCCGTTATGGAAGCTATTGATGTTATAGACGCGATTGTTGTTATGAAAGTTATGATCGTTACGACCGTTATTTCCGTTATTCCAGGGAGTAGAAAGTAGGATTTTCTGTATTCTCTTTCCCACTTTCTTGTCCCGTTGATTACATACTCGATCCACTGTGACGATACACAAAGAGAGAGAGAGAGAGAGAGAGAGAGAGAGAGAGAGAGAGAGAGATGAAAATAAGTGAAATAAGAACAATACAAAAATATAGATACGTGTTTTGAAAGCCTCTTAAGAGAATTTTTGAGATAGTAGGTAAACAACTGAGAGATAAACAAAGGCAGTGTCTCTCAATTCTCTGTGTAACACTATCTTCTTTCCTCTAGTACCACAGTTAGTACCTGGTGATCCCAAAATAATCTCTCTCTCTCTCTCTCTCTCTCTCTCTCACCACCATCACCAACACTACTTCTACCATCACTACTACTATCACCCTCATCACCAACACTACTACCACCATCATTATCACCACCACCAACACCAGTATCACTACTATCACCACCACCACCACCACCACCAGTAACAGGGTTATAGTGTGTGGTCAAGACATAAATCCAGATGTGAAGAACGTTGTAAGTATACTGACAGCGGAGGATTACTGGCTCTCTCTCTTTAATTCTTGCGTCTGGTAGCGCTGACCTTCACTGCCAGAGTATGAAACATTACCAAAAAGTCTCGTATGTTGCTAAGAGAATGTGTCTAGTTTATGGCAGAGTCTTGTGGTATTTTGGATGACATTTTTATTACCAATATTGTGTTTTAGGTTAAGGGAAGTTAGATGTTCTCTCTTCAGTTATGGTGGAAAGTTAAGGTAGGAAATTCTGGCAACGAGGATACTAGAGGTTATCGTACCGTAGTCGCCTGGTGTGTTGTGGGGGGGGGGGGCTATTATCCTCCACTCTTTATCCTGATACTGTGCACCTCTACACTATCCGGCGCCAGATGCAGGTTTACGAGGGTAAGTTACAACAGCGTATTTTTATGCCTAGTAGTTTATCTTCTCGTTATCAGGCACCGGCTTGAGCGTCTATTGAGCATGGCTGGGACCAATTGATCGCACGTCTGGCAGTGAGGACTTTATTACTTGACATGAGGAGCGTGGCCAAGACCAGACTGATGGTGCAGCTGGCAGTGAGGACCTTATTACTTGACATGAGGGGCGTGGCCAAGACCAGACTGATCGTACGGCTGGCAGTGAGGACCTTATTACTTGACATGAGGGGCGTGGCCAAGACCAGACTGATCGTACGGCTGGCAGTGAGTACCTTATTACTTGACATGAGGGGCGTGGCCAAGACCAGACTGATCGTACGGCTGGGAGTAAGGACCTTATTACTTGACATGAGGGGCGTGACCAAGACCAGACTGATCGTACGGCTGGCAGTGAGAGGCTTGTATATTTCCCATCTGTCTCGGAATTCTTAAAGATAGAGAGATAGAGAGATAAACTGAGAGAAAGAGAGAGAGACACCCATATGTGCCCTGTGACCTTCATATATGTCCTCTCACCCCCCCCCACTAAGTTACTAAAACAATAACACAAACAAAATTATCCGATTTCCGATAAAGCCCAATTTTCTTCTTCCCTCGCTTATCCGGAGTCGACATGAGGTGTGTGTGTGTGTGTGTGTGTGTGTGTGTGTGTGTGTGTATGTGTGTGTAAACTGGACCTTTGGACTGTGTGGACGTGCATAAAGTCCAACGTTTATTCAGGAATCTCTGTTCGTTTGTCGTTCATCTGTTATTAGAGTTTAATCAAAGGAGTTTTTCTCTACAACGACTCGTTAATTCAGTGTACTTGCATGAGTGTGTGTGTACGTAGGAAAAAAACGCACATATGCACGTATTGTAAAGTCAGAAATGAACAGTCAAAGAAAATAGAGACAATGTAGAGATTTGAAAGGAGCCTGTCTGTCTGTCTGTCTGTCTGTCTGTCTGTCTGTCTGTCTGTCTGTCACGTTGAGGGCTTGGTATGTTATCGTTCTCAGGTCGGATATGGTACCAAAACTAAGCGTGTATTAGCATCAATGAAAACGGGAAGCCGACGAGCAATACCTAACCTAACCTATCCTAACCTAACCTAACTTAACCTAACCAATCCAACCCTTGGTATAACCAATTGTTCTTACGTCCAGGAAATTGTAATAACTGTTTATATGTCTGAAGTTTAATAAGCGTTGTTTTGATCTCTCACCCACACACCCACACACACACACACACACACACCCACACACACCCACACACACCCACAACCACACACACCCACACACACACCCACACATACCCACACACACACACCACACATACCACACACACACACACCCACACACACACACACACCCACACACACACACACACCCACACACACACACACCCACACACACCCACACACTCCACACACACACTCCACACCCATACACACCCACACACACACACACACACCCACACACACCCACACACACCCACACCCACACGGTAAAAAGTATTATGTTACTTAGCTAATGTAATGCACCCTTAAAAGCCGTGATGACAGAGGTAAGCAGAGTGTAGAACTGCCACCCCTCACGCTAGCCACACCCTCTTCTCTCTCTCTCTCTCTCTCTCTCAAAAAAAGCTAAACCATGCACGCACACACACGCACACACGCACGCAAGCAAGCCACGCCCATTCAAATACACGAAAAAAAGTTACACACACACACACACACCTGAGGATAACGAGGCGACTAATCTTGGAAGTATACCACGAACACATTGAAAGCTCACGTCCTAACCTATCCTAACCTAACTTAACGTAACCTAACCTAACTTAACCTAACTTAACGTAACCTAACCTAACTTAACCTAACTTAACGTAACCTAACCTAACTTAACCTAATTTAACGTAACCTAACTTAACTTAACGTAACCTAACCTAACTTAACGTAACCTAACCTAACTTAACCTAACTTAACGTAACCTAACCTAACTTAACGTAACCTAACTTAACGTAACCTAACCTAACTTAACTTAACCTAACCTAACTTAACCTAACTTAACGTAACCAAACCTAACTTAACCTAACCTAACTTAACCTAACGTAACCTAACCTAACTTAACGTAACCTAACCTAACTTAACGTAACCTAACCTAACTTAACGTAACCTAACTTAACGTAACCTAACCTAACTTAACTTAACCTAACCTAACTTAACCTAACTTAACGTAACCTAACCTAACTTAACGTAACCTAACCTAACTTAACCTAACCTAACTTAACCTAATTCAGTCTAATTAACCAAATAATAATAATAATAATAATAATAATAATAATAATAATAATAATAAATGGAGAGGAAGGGAATAAGATTATAAAAATAGGTAATTAGAGAGGGGCTGTGAAGGGAGAGGCACAAAGACGGATGATAACAAAGAGGATGATGACGCAGTACTTTAGACCAGTGGTTCTCAACCTTGTTTGCCCCATGCACCCCTTTCACCATATGTCAGAATGTCATTCCCCCCTCCTTTCCAAGATTGTCTGCCTCAAAAGTGCATTCCAAATAATATGCATATAATACTGAAAATCCTTTATTTTTTCCATATTAGTACATATACATTTACAATTTTACATGGATTATTTTTATAGTGGAGTTTTACAAATTAAATGCCAATTGAAAATGTTGATGGATTTATAAAACTTGAATAAAAGTAAAATAGTTTTTTTTTTATTTATAATGAATTACTTAACAGACCAAACTGAAGCATAATGCAATAAACAAAAGTTCAATAGAATACCAGGGTATTGTAAATTTGTAATTAATTTTATTCAGATGAAGATTACAGTCAATGAGAAACCTGTGATTGTTTTTTCTTCGCCAATTCTGGGATACGCGGAGGAGTGCTTGAAAGGGCACAACGCAGGTCATTTTCTACCTCAAATCTACTACGTTGCTTTGTTTTAATTTGCAACAGAGTTGAAAAGCCTGACTCACAAAGATATGTCGACACAAACGGAAGCAATGCACGGATAGCTCTTTCTGCCACTTTTGGGTAGGAATCGCACATCAAGGGCCAAAATTCTGTGATTGATTTCTCATCGAACATATCTCTTGCTCCCCAATCAGTTTTCCCCTCCCTGAAAACACCGATTTACCCTGGTTGAGAGCCTGCTGTAGATGGACGGAGAATGATAATGGGAAGGAGGACAATGACGATATGAGGAGAGAGAGAGAGAGAGAGAGAGAGAGAGAAAGAAACAACAAATAAGGAAGTACATTTAATATGCCAGTACACCCAGTCGACAGTGCCATGAAAGTACTGTACCACCACAAACACACTTCCCCCACAGCCTCCCGTCCTAAAGGGTGAAAGTTATACCCCCCAACAACCTGTCATCATAGTCTGGTTGGCCCGGGACCCGCCATTAATGGGTTATGGGTTATTTTAGTCCCGTTCAACACCGAAAGAGGAAGACGGTGGCCACCAAGACATGATGGCGCTGTTACTCTCTCTTGCTACTACGACAAATTAATTTTTATTTTTTGGGGGGAAAAACAAAATATATAATGAATATTTAGTTATTTATTTAAGGTGTTTATATTTCTTTATTTGTTTAATAATTAGACCTACGTAAGAGGTTTAAATGTTGTTAAAGCCGATTATTTTTCTTAATGTTGTCTACCACACACACAGGCTACCAGAGGGTTTATTTATTTAATAGAGATATGCTATCATGAATATATCTATCTATCTATCTATCTATCTATCTATCTAGCTCTTTGTTGAAGTTCACTGTCACCATAACACTATCACCATAACACTGTCACCATAACACTGTCACTATAACACTGTCATTACAACACTGTCATTATAACACTATCACTATAACACTGTCACCATAACACTCATTATAACACTATCACCATCACACTATCGCCATAACACTGTCACCATAACACTGTCACCATAACACTGTCACTAAAACAGTCACCATAACACTATCACCATAACACTGTCACTAAAACAGTCACCATAACCTTATCACTATAACACTGTCACTAAAACTGTCACCATAACACTATCACCATAACACTATCACCATAACACTGTCACCATAACACTGTTACTATAACAGTCACTATAACACTATCACCATAACACTATCACCATAACACTATCACCATAACACTGTCACCATAACACTGTCACCATAACACTGTCACCATAACACTATCACCACCAACACTAAACACTGTCACCATAACACTGTCACCATAACAGTCACTATAACACTATCACCATAACACTGTCACCATAACACTATCACCATAACACTGTCACCATAACACTGTCACTGTCACTAACACACTCACTATCATAACACTGTCACCATAGCACTATCACCATAACACTGTCATCCATAACACTGTCACCATAACACTATCACCATAACACTGTCATCCATAACACTGTCCATAACACTGTCACCATAGCACTATCACCATAGCACTGTCTCCATAACACTGTCACCATAACACTGTCACCCACTGCCCATAACACTATCACCCATAACACTGTCACCCATAACACTGTCACCATAACACTGTCACTATAACAGTCACTATAACACTATCACCATAACCTTATACCACCACACTGTCACCATAACACTATCACCATAACACTCACCATAACACTGTCACCATAACACTCACCATAACACTCACCATAACACTCATAACACTGTCACCATAACACTGTCACCATAACACTATCACCATAACACTGTCACCATAACATAACACTGTCACCATAACACTATCACCATAACACTGTCACCATAACACTGTACACACTGTCTGCCATAACACTATCACCATAACACTGTCTCCATAACACTGTCACCATAACACTATCACCCATAACACTGTCATCATAACACTATCTCCATAACACTGTCACCATAACACTACACCATAACACTATCACCATAACACTCACCATAACACTGTCACTATAACACTGTCACCATAACACTGTCACCATAAGACTATCACCATAACACTCACCATAACACTGTCACTATAACACTCACCATAACACTCACCATAACACTCACCATAACACTGTCACCATAACACTGTCACCATAACACTATCACCATAACACTGTCATATAACATTGTCCACCCTAACACTGTCACCATAACACTCACATACAGTAGTCAGCATAGGGAGGAGGAGGGAGGGAGGGAGGGAGGAATGGTGGGGAGGGATGGGTAGGGAGGGAGGAGGAGGAATGGGTGGGGAGGAGAGTGGGTAGGGTGATGAGAAGGGGGAGGGAGGGGAGGGAGGGAGAGAGAGAGAGAGAGAGAGGGTTGCCGGATGGGGCGTTTATAAAGTCGTGTTGGGGAGGAGAGCGGCTCAGTCTAGCGTGGGCTGTGGTAGAGGTAGGAGGTAGCTGCTCCGCGGGCCCGCATCACCCTAGTGACCTCCCCCCCCACTCTTGGGACCCCCCCTCTCTCTTCAACCCCCTACACCTGCTTGTAAGTGATGCTCCGATTGGCTAATATCGATGCTAGTTATCCCCCCTTCCCCTCAGTTGATTGGCTAATTTAAGTAATTTTCCTCCTATTAATTATTGAAAGGTATATTGTGGTAATTGGTCCAAGTTAATTGTTTATTTTTGTTTTGTATTTCGTCCCAACAAGGTGCTAACGACCCAACCAGGTGCTAACGACCCAACCAGGTGCTAACGACCCAACCAGGTGCTAACGACCCAACCAGGTGCTAACGACCCAACCAGGTGCTAACGACCCAACCAGGTGCTAACGACCCAACTAGGTGCTAACGACCCAACCAGGTGCTAACGACCCAACCAGGTGCTAACGACCCAACCAGGTGCTAACGACCCAACCAGGTGCTAACGACTCAACCAGGCGCTAACGACCCAACCAGGTTATTAGAGTATGAAAATAATATTACATAGCAGTGGAGAATACTAGTGTAATAGACCTTCTGTACCTTGTATTTACCTGGTGTACCGGGAGTAGAGTGCTGTACCGGGAAGACGCTGTATTGGGTCACTGATGCTGTACCGGGAAGATTAATGCTTTACCGGGAAGACTGATACTGTACCAGGATTCTGTACCGGGAAGAGTTAATACTGTGCCGGGAAGACTAATACTGTACCAGGATGATGTTGTACCGGGAAGACTAATACTGTACCAGGATGATGTTGTACCGGTAAATTTGACCAAAACCACCCAGAGACCAGCAATAAACTGGCCAAAAAATCACAGAAACCTTCTTAGAAATACCAATAAGGATTAGAAACCGCTCAGTGCAGCACAGGACCAAAGACAGGGCTATAGAAACCACCACTGGAGCCTAGAAACCGTCTTAAACCGTCAGTAATGCGTACAAATCAAATTAGAGAACATCTTTGCCACATAAACGCCAATTAGAAAACCCCGGTAAGGCCTAGAAACCGCCGAGATATCACCAGTGTATTATTGAACAAATTCAGAACTGACAGGTCTTGCGTAGAAACCATTGAAAACGACCACTGCAGCTGAGAAACCGCGTTAATTCTACATTGTAAATATCCTGAATTGCCTGCACTGTTTAGAAACCTATGAGAATGCTTAAAGGAGAGTTAAAAACCTTCTTGGACCATTTAAAAACCCCGCCTATAGTAGCATTGGTACCTCCCAAGACATCTGTACGATTTTAGAAAACATCCGGAGGCCGCTAGTGTATGAATAGGATTAACTTATGAATCAGGATTAACTTATGAATCAGGATTAACTTAGAAACCTGGATTAACCTAGATACATAATTTACTTAGAAACCAGGATTGACCTAGAAACCAGACATTCTCTTCAAGCAACAGATTTAAAACACTCAAGGGCATAGAACCCGCCAATGGAACTTGGAAACCATTAAAAACCTCGATTAAGAAGTGAATAACTTTCTACTCGTTTGTGAAAATGTGACAGTGAGAGAGAAATGACAGCGTAGAAAGGCAGAGCGGACAGACAGACAGACAGAGAGACAGACAGACAGACAGACAGACAGAGAGACAGGGAGGCAGAGAAGGGTAGTGAGAAAACTCCTCACTAATTAAACACTGAGAGATATTTCACCTTTTTTCTCTAAGTGTGAAAATGTGAGATAGTTTTCATTGAAGGAATCAGAAATATCTTTAATAAAATTAACCTTCAGATATGCAAATCAGATTAATTTGCATATTTAATTTTTAAATATTTTTGGGGATAATTATCTATCAATTCAATTTCAATTTCAATTGTTTATTCCTTGATAGAGGAAGCGGGATCCTAGTGCTGTCACTAGGTACCCCTGTACAATGACACCACAAGCATCTGGCAAGTGTGACAAGTATATACAGTATAAATATTATAAAGGGGCTTACTAAAGCCTAAGGAAGGAAGGATATTCCTTTAACACATAATCAATGTTATTTACAACACATCTGGCCAGTATGGGGAGGATCCTCGGGTCTCCGTCAGGGGTCGTGGAGTGGAATTATCTGTCTATAAATTATTGTATTAATTTTAAAATGTTCTCAGAGGTAAATTTTATTTTTAGTAAAATTTTTAAGTAGTATTAAATTTTATGAAAATTACTTATTATTGTGTGTTAAGGTTAGAAAATATTATTATTATTATTATTATTATTGTTGTTATAATTATTATTATTATTATTATTATTATTATTATTATTATTATTATTATTGTTATAATTATTATTATTATTATTATTATTATTATTAGTAGTAGTAGTAGTAGTAGTAGTAGTAGTAGTATCATTTGTAAGTGTGTGAATGTGTGTATGAGTGTGTGTTTGTGTGTGAGTGTGTGTATTAGACCTAGACTTAAGTGTATGTGGGTGTATGAGTGCGTGTCTATAAGTGTGTCAGAGATTGAGACTCAAGTGTGTGAGTGTAAGTGTGTCAGTGGGGGTCGAGTGTTTCACGTAATATGTGAGTCCAATATGGATTTTCACCAGAGGGACTTAACACACACACAAGTACTAATGTTTTATGTAGATGTCTCTGTTTACAAGTTCTGATATTGTTTACAAATCTCTGTCTGTCTGTCCATCTCTCCGTTTAATTTTTGTACTCTCTCTCTCTCTCTCTCTCTCTCTCTCTCTTCCTTCCCTCCATTCATCTCTCCTTCCGCCCTTCTTCTCTTACGCCATTTCCTCCCCCACTAACCCATCCCCCTTCCTCCTTTTCCTGGTTCCCGATCCCTCCTCCTCTTCTTCCTCCTTCTTCCTCTTCACTTCCTCATCAACGCTTCTCCTCCCTCCTTCTTCCCCTCCTTCTCCCCCCCCCCTCCCTCCTTCACAAAAACACCCACCCCCCTCCACCTTGCCATTCCATCATTACACACACACACACACACACACACACACACACACACACACACACACACACATACACACACGACACCACCTTCATAATTAAACCAATCATCGCTTTCCCAGAACCTTCCACTAACATACAGTACATAACAGCAACACACGATACAAACCCTTGAACCTAACCTAACCTAACCTAACCTAACCTAACCTAACCTAACCTAACCTAACCTAACCTAGATTATTCATGAGCCATTATACATAGTAATAATTATCGCTACTTCAAGATGTGGGGATTCATGTTATTTATCGCTATTCGAAGATCATTCCAGATTTTAGGTAATTATTAGATAATTTTTTTAGGCATTTGTGATATTTTTTTTGGTCATTGTTTTAAATTAATTCCGATTTTTGTTTGTAATAATTCCGGAATTTTTGGATTTTGGGTTAATTTTTCGATAATATTTTCCTAAATTTGAGAAAGTTCTGGGGGGTGGGGGGGTGGGTGGGAAATTTTTGTGGCGATTATTAATTTCTCAAGAAGTATTTCCAAAATCGGACATTAGAGTCACTTTAAATTGGCACCTGACATTGCAGTTGAGGAAAAGAAAGGAGTCAAGACCAGTGCCGCCGCCTTGTCTTAAAAATAATTATTAAGCTACATCCACACTTTCACTTCCCTCTTTATACACTTAACTCCCACGGAAATTCATAATATATAGAGAATATTTTGTATTATACCACTGCATCATGACCTTTGACACCATCTCATTATAAATCGACATTCCATCAGATTACTTGGACAGACTTGCAGATGTTTACACCGACAGATGACCAACATACAGTCAGCCGTAGGTATGAACATGGGTGTCTCACGGTATTCGAACTCATAAAGCTCTCAAACAGTCTTCTAGCAGTACGGCATTCCGTTTTCGATAATGTTACCGTGTATATATTGTAATATTATCAGTGTTATTAATATTTTGCCCTATTGACTCACATATTTTTATAAAAGGTTTGTACAGACACACTTTGTCTACCTGTTATGAAGCGTGTCTCGAGAAGTGTTTCAATGATATTCTGTATTGTGAAACTGATTCGAATGATATTTAATCGTTTTGAGCTTTGAAAGTGCAAAATAGAGGTACTGCTATTATTTTTATTATTATTATTATTAGTAGTAGTAGTAGTAGTATCATTGTTATTATCATTATTATTACTATTATTATTCCCGTAACAACATCAGAGTTAATTATTTACTTTTCGTTCTTTACAGATGTGATTTTCGACCTGACACTCGTGTATATCTTGATGACCAGAGCGTCGTGTACCAAGGTGAGTGTGTGTGTGTGTGTGGTGGAGAATCATAGCAGCACATGACCCCAGGGAGGGACAGTTATCAGTCAACCTCCCAACTAATAACTTATTCCCCCCCCCGACAGAAAAGTTTATTTACATACCCAGGCGTTTTTGGAGGGAACTCGGATTACTTCATCATGAATCCGGATCTATACCAATACAAACTCCTATTCTTCATCGAAAATAAACATGGAATAATGTTTATATGATGTTTCTCTTATAGGTTAATGATTTTAGAGGTGAAATATAATACATAAATAAGAATTAGATGTTAGATGTGAGTTTAAGAGCGACAGGAGTAGATAGAAGGTAGTGTTGACTGACTCGATAAGGTGTGGGGCGTGGGTACAGACAGTGGCTTCAGACAGACGTTCATATTGACAGTTTTGTGATGAACAGGACCCTATGGCGGGGTATTTGTGAACTACTATCCACTGTTCCTCAATGTTAGTAAGTGTATCTCTTATTAATAACTTTTAACTGAGGGTAATAAAGCCCTAGTGGTGAGGAGAGACAGAAATACAGTGAGAATTTTCGATGTCAAGTTGACCGCCATCTTTTGTGTTGGTGTTCATATCAGACGCTTTTAGTTCGTCATATTTTCCGAGTCTTTTCCTACTTCCTTGGATCTAGTTCCTTGTGTGTGTGTGTTATCTTTAGTTTATTTATTCATCTCGTAGTTGAATATTATCTTGCTGTCTTTGTGTTTATCGGGGCCCTCGTGGGATACCGTGCCTGTGTTAGCAAACGAAGGGACGATACAAGCGAGAGTAAACATGGTGTGGCGAGCGACCTTCAGTTAAATGTTTACCACTTGGCCTTAATATAACTGAGACACACACACACACACACACATATAGACTTGACGTGATTATGAGAGAAGAAAAAGGCGACTCGTAAATCTGTTCCGGAGTTTTTCTGAACGATGTAGGTTACGTATGTGTGTTTTTTGTGTATGTATATTCATGTGTATTCTATATATATGAGTGTGAGTGTATCTTATTGTCTGTGTATACGTACATATGTATACCGTATGAATAGGCCAAAGTCTTAATCGTCCCCAATACATAATTATGATAAGGTTACGTTAAATTAGGATCGCTTAGTACAGGTTATATTAACTTAATGACTAATTAGGACTTTGATTAATTTAACAGTCTCGAGGTTGTTTTGGTTCCATCTTGTGTTAGTTTACCTTTTTAGCTGAAGTCAAGCAGATATGGTTAGGTCAGATTAGGTTAGTTTAGGTTAAGAATGGTGCTATAGTATGAACACCTGGTGAATTTTGGACACATACACAACCCCGTTTTACTTCATCCAACTCTCAGAAAATTACAATTTACATTTTTTTACACTCGATAAAATTATCTTGGAACGATATATAAAAAAAAATGTTATATATAAAATACTTTTCTATATATCATAACACTGAAAAGAGAATATATTATGTATTCAAATTATACTGTGATCATAGAGGTATCGTGTATAACGCCGATTTATGTCTCCTCGACCATATGACTGAATTATAGAGCCGAGTTATAGGAATTTTCTTGGGATGATATAAAATGCGTTATAAGGGTTGGTTTTTATGTGGAGATATATGATGATACGTCACAGTCTGCTGAGTGCCTTACAAAATTGCCTTGTTACACACGTCTTGTATAGGTCCGTCCCCCACCCCTCCAAAAAAACTAAAAAACAAATGAGCCTCGACCGTCTGTGTGTGTGTGTGTGTGTCGTCCATCACATTACATTATCTATTGTTATGGATTTACGATAACACAGTAATGCCAACACGAAAATGAAAGGCTTGTTGTATCCGTTCACCAAAAAGGAACCAACGACTCAGTCTGCCGCCACGGATCATTAACAGAAAACGAAGAAAAAGAAAAAAAAAAAAGAAACAACTTGGTACCACAGGCAATACGGGAGGAAAAAAAGATTGCATTTTACTCCTCGATAACAAGAAATATAGTGGCGCTGGGGCTCTGGGGGCAACAACTTCAGGGGTTATGGGGCGTGGGCGATAGCTAGTAGTGGCAATCATCATGGGAGGGGGTGTGTTCCTACCAGTGGTCGCCAGAAGGTAAACAAAGGCTGAGTCGTGCGTTCGGCTTTAAAATCCTGGATCCGCCTTCACATCCGGATTCATTAATTATTTTTGGACGTCAACTTTTCTGCTCATATTTTTTTATGGTGTTTTGCTTACTACTACTACTACTACTACTACTCTCTCTCTCTCTCTCTCATATTAGAGACTCCATGTTTGCTTAGTAGATTACGAGAGCCAATTAGTTGCGTTATGACATCACTAGTTAAGAGCAATTACATGTCACCTGATGATTAATTCCCCCCAGTTTATTTCATTTTAATATCAATTGTTCTCCTCCTAACTTAACCAAACCAAACCTAACTGACATTAACCTAATTTAACCAAACCAAACCAAACCTAACCAAACCAAATCAAACCAAACCAAACTAAACCAAACCAAACTAACATTAACCTAATTTAACCAAACCAAACCAAACCAAACCAAACTAACATTAACCTAATTTAACCAAACCAAACCAAACCAAACCAAACCAAACCTAACCTATCTAACATTAACCTAATTTAACCAAACCAGACCAAACCTAACCATTAACCTAATTTAACCAAACCAAACCAAACCTAACCAAACCAAACCAAACCAAACCAAACTTAACCAAACCAAACCAAACCTAACCAAAACCAAACCAAATCAAACCAAACTAACATTAACCTAATTCCGAATCGCAAACCAAACCAAACCTAACCTAACCTAACCTAACCTAACTCAAACCAAACCAAACTGATTAACCTTAATTGAACAAACTAACATTAACCTAATTTAACCAAACCAAACCAAACCAAACCTAACCAAACCAAACCTAACCAAACCTAACCTAACCCAAGTATAGCATTAGGGTGTTTGTTTAATCAAGTGAAATATGTTGGGGTGTCTAATCTTCATGTGATCCATATATATGCAACTCGGGAACCTTTGAGAATCCTTCACTAATTAGGAGAAAAAAATATTAAGCTGATCGGCTCTTAAAAATGAGACCTTGGCAAGATTGATGGTGAGTGATGGTGGTGATAGTGATGGTGGTGATAGTGATGTTGGTGATAACGATGGTGGTGATAGTGATGGTGGTGTTAGTGATGTTGGTGATAGTGATGTTGGTGATAGTGATGGTGGTGATAGTGATGTTGGTGATGATGGTGGTGATGAGTGATTGGTGATGGTGATAATTGGTGATTGATCAGTGATGGTGGTGTTAGTGATGGTGGTGATGGTAGTGGTGATAGTGATGGTGGTGTTGTTAGTGATGTTGGTGATGATGATGGTGGTGTTGATGATGGTGGTGATAGTGATGGTGGTGATAGTGATGGTGGTGATAGTGATGTTGGTGATAACGATGGTGGTGATAGTGATGGTGGTGTTAGTGATGTTGGTGATAGTGATGTTGGTGATAGTGATGGTGGTGATAGTGATGTTGGTGATAGTGATGGTGGTGATAGTGATGGTGGTGATAGTGATGGTGGTGATAGTGATGTTGGTGATAGTGATGGTGGTGATAGTGATGGTGGTGATAGTGATGGTGGTGATAGTGATGTTGGTGATAGTGATGGTGGTGATAGTGATGTTGGTGATAGTGATGTTGGTGATAGTGATGTTTGTTGGGTGAGGGAGAGTGTCAGAGTGTGAGTGAGTGAGTGAGTGAGAGAGAGATAGATTATTGGATATATAGACAGGCAGACAGACAAATAAATAGATAAAAAGAGACAGAGTTATAAGAAGAAACTCTCTCTCTCTCTCTCTCTCTCTCTCTCTCTCTCTCTCTCTCGTTTGCTCTAAGTCTAAAGGTATCGAGGGAGTCGTAGTGAAACGTGATTGGAATATCGGACACAAGGCTTCGAACCCCTGGACTCACACCGGGACCCTGTATGTCTGTTTGTGTGTGTGTGTCTGTTGCGTGTGTGTGTGTGTGTGTGTGTGTGTCTGTTGCGTGTGTGTGTGTGTGTGTGTGTGTGTATGTCTGTACTAACGCCTATTTTTATGTATAGAATATTGTATTTATGTTACTGTGTCTGTATTTTACGTGTGTGTGTTTGTGTACATACATTCATACATACATATATACATACATACATACATTCATACATACATACATACATACATACATACGTACATCTAAGATATACATGTATTTCTTGGCATTATACATTCATACTTGGTCTCGACTTATGTATGACAGCAAAAGGCGAGTCTGCTTATACAACTTGACCTCATTTGCATATTATAGTTGTGAGTGTTCTCCACACACCCCACCTACCACCTCCCTCTTCCCCACCTCCCCCATCTCCTCTTCCCCACCTCCCCCCACCACCTCCTACCCCCACCTCCCCCCCACCTCCCTCCACCTCCCTCTTCCCCACCCACCCAACTTACCTCCCTCTTCCCCACCTCCACCACCACCCTCCTCTTCCCCACCCCCCCACCACCCCCCACCTCCCTCTTCCCCTCCCACCCACCACCACCTCCCTCACCCCCCACCCCCCCACCACCACCACTTCCCTCTTCCCCCCACCCCCACCCCACCCCCACCTCCTCTTCCCCCTCCCACCCACCACACCTCCCTCTTCCCCACCCCACCACACCACACTTCCCTCTTCCCCACCCCCCCCACCCCACCCCCCCACCTCCTTCTTCCCCACTCCCACCACCACCACCTCCCCTCTTCCCCCACCCCCCACCCACCACCACTTCTTCCCCACCCCCCTCCCCACCACCTCCTCTTCCCCACCCCCACCCACACCTCCCTCTTCCCCACCTCCCCCCCTCTTCAACCCCTCCCCCCCCACCAACACTCATTTGGGTACGTTTTAAATATTTATGTTTATATTATTATTCAAGGCATTTCTAGTAATATTTTTTAGGAAGGTGAATATA